GGCCAAACAGGTTTCTCACTGCAGGATTGTGCTGGGTCCAGACCCCAGCCTCAGCTCAGTCACCAATCTGCTGTGTGATCTTAAGCAAATCACTTTCCCTCTCTGTGCCTTGTGTATAAAATGAGGGGGTTAGACAGTATTGTTTCTTTCTTTCTTTCTTTTTTTTTGAGACAGAGTCTTGCTTTTGTTGCCCAGGCTAGAGTGAGTGCGGGCATCAGCCTAGCTCACAGCAACCTCAAACTCCTGGGCTCAAGCAATCCTTCTGCCTCAGCCTCCCGAGTAGCTGGGACTACAGGCATGTGCCACCATGTCCGGCTAATTTTTTTCTCTCTATATTAGTTGGCCAATTAATTTCTTTCTATTTATAGTAGAGACGGGGTCTCGCTTTTGCTCAGGCTGGTTTCGAACTCCTGACCTCGAGCAATCGGCCCGCCTCGGCCTCCCAGAGTGCTAGGATTACAGGCATGAACCACTGCACCGGCCAGACAGCTTCGTTTCTGGTGTTCTTTCCAGTTCTACTAATAAAATTCTGTTTCGGAACAGGTAGAGCCAGTTCATCTCTTGAGGTCGTGGTCTGTGCTTGGTCTGTTGCCATGACGACAGCCAGGCGGTTCCCCCTTTTCTCCGTTCTCACCACCCAGGGAGGCACCGGGCAGGGGCGATGGGAGGGACTCGCCCACTGCATGAGTTTGAGCAAAGGACTGGGCCTTTGCTCAAGGGCAAAGCTGATCGAGGGATCAGCTTCCTCCTTGAAAAAGTGGGTGACGGTGTCTCCATCCCACTGGCCTTGGGCACCCCGAGGGAGGATGGGCGTGACGTGCCTGGTGTGGGTGTCTGTGCCCTGCCCCCTCTCTGCCTGTCCTCAGCGTGGCCTCCCTGCCCCGGCTGCACCAGCCATCCCTGTCGCATCGACCTGCCCACTCAGCCCTGTGCCTCGCCGGTGGTGACGAGGAATTATGTTCCTGTAGGTCACAGCTTCTCCCAGGCCCCAACCCCTAGCACCTCTCACCGCCAATGGATGGGAGCTAATGGCCTGGCCCCAAAAAGGGGCCCCTCCGTTGATTTTGCCTTCTGGGCACCTGTCTTGCCTCACCCTGCTCCTGGCCCGTCATGTAAGATACTGGGCTATAAGGACAATGGATACCTTCCAGCTTCTGTTTACTGCTTGTTTGTTAACCGCAAGGCATTATGAGTACATTATGGGATGCAGAGGAAAAAGACAAAAGAACACGGAAACCGGAGTCTCTCAGCTAGGACTCGGAATAGGTTAGAGCCTATCAGGGGCGGGATGAAGTAAGAATTACTGTGGGGGCGGATGCATGACCAGTGTGTAAACAACTGAGTTATAAAAAGGGACTAACACACAAAGGAGGGTCCCTGCCCGGAGAAGAGGCCACTGTGCTGGCACTCTGAGGGCTCGGACCCTAGCTTGAGCTGGACAATAAAACTCCTTTTGATAATTACAGCCTAGGTGACTATGTCTCTCTGTCCTGTGGCCTTGTGAATCTCGAATATAACAATCACACGGCCATACGTTGCTGGTTTCAGGTAGACAAGAAAGCCTCTCAAGCAGGGTTCTCGAAAAGTGCTGGCTAACGGGGGGCATGCTAACACACGAACTGCCAGGCTGAGCCCAGGGTTGCTGATTCAGTAGGTCTGGGTGGAGGCCGAGAGTTTGCATTTCTAGCAAGTTCTTAGGTGGCGCTGATGCTGTGGGCCTGGGGACCCCCTTTGAGAACCGGGCCCCTGGAGACGGCGGTGGCACAGAGCTTTCTTGCGGGCCGGCTGCCATGGCGTTGGTGCTGTCTCTCCCTGGCTTGGTGGCTCAGCCTGCCGGGATGCTCCTGCCGGCACCGGACGGAGCCCGGAGACCCTTGCCTAATTTATGGGACTTGGCGGGATGCTCAGACTCTGAGGAGGACAGAAGCTTCCGCCACACTGTTCCCTGACTACAGCGCGGAGGCGGGTTTTAGTGCTCTCCGGGGAGCACGCGCATGTGCAAGGCCTGCTCCCTGCTTGCTGTAAAACTCGGTCATGGAGCGAGGCTGGGTGGTTATAGAGTTTCCCGGGGGCTGTGTCCTTGCCCGCCCTGGAGCAGGTGGGAGAGGTTTCCTCTGAAAAGTGGCAGGGCTGGTGCTCAACGGCAGTTGGCTGGGATTTGTGTGCCCCGCGGGCTGTTTAATGTCATTGTGCAGAGTCTCCTTGGCTCTGGCTACTCCTCTCCCCTCCTGCTCTGGGCCCCTGTGGGTGGTCCACACGGGAATGGCCATTTAGGCTGTATCTGGTCAGGCGACTTGTCGGGGCTGATCCCCGTGCTCAGGAGATGGGGGTACTCACCGCAGAAGATGACACACCTGGGTGGAGCTCTCCATCTTGGGGGGCTGGCTAAGCCCCTCTCTGGGTGCTGAGTGGACACCCTGCCCTCCACTGATCACCTGCTTGTCACCTCATCTCATTTTAGCCCTAACAGGAGCCTGTGAGGCCCTAAGGCACCGTGCCTGGCTCACGGGGTGGCCAGTCAGCACTGGCTGAGTAGGGGACGTGGGCTTTGAACCTGGCTCTTTCTCGCCCCAGGGCCCTGCTCTTCCTGGGTCATGAAGCAGGTTGCCATTCTCTTCTTGCCCACCCTGCGGCGACAGGTTTGTTTCATCCCATGCAAACAACACCAAAGGCCAGGGCTCCACGCCTTTTGGGTTTGGCCGAGTGTGAGCAGGAAAATCAGCGGGTGAACGCAGGGTGTCGGTCATCTGTCCGCCCGGAGAGTCTTCCTTGCGCTCTACAGAGAGCCGCAGAGCCCACTGCAATTCCTGCTGCTGCGTGTTGGGGCCACACTCAGTCTGGGATGATGTTTTCTCTTTCATAAAACTGGCACAAGACAGCTTGGGGCAGTGAGGAGACCAACCCCCAGGAAGTCACCAGCACCCTGGGGCAACGGAGGACCAGGTGGGGACTGTCCCCCCATCCCTCCCACTGGGCTTCCCCAAACCTCAGCACTGTGAGTCACTCTGCCAAGTTCCCTCCTTTATGTTCTAGGCATAAGCAGGGCAGGGTGTGTGTGGGGTTCTGTTTCCTCCATGGTACAGCCACTAGAGCTTGGAATATTCTAAAGGAACTTTTCTGAGACACCAAGGATTGACTCAATCTCTTTTCTGGGTAACATTAACAATAAAAGCAGTTGGCACTTACAGGCATGGTGGGCCAGGCCCTCTCCCGAGGTTTTCACCCATATGAACTCCTTTAACCCTGACAAAAGCCTAGAGTGGAGGAGCGTCATTCGTTTCCATGTTGCAGATGAGGAAACTGAGGCTCAGAGAGGTTCAGTTGACATGGCCAAGGTCACATGGCCAGTAAGTGGGGAGCTGGGATTTGAACCCAGGAAGCCTGGCTCCTGAAAGTAGGCCCGGCTGCTTTTCCAGCCTCATCTCCTGCTCCTCCCCAAGTTTTCTAGAGTCTAAATCCGGGATCTCTCTCCCTTTATTGAACACCCCAGGCTTTTCTAGGCTTCTCGACATTTGCGCGTCCTGGCCTCCCTGCCCATGTGGCCTGCTTGCTTGGGTGGCTCCCTGCCGAGTTCCCACTCATCTGTTTGGGGACAGCCTTCTCAACCCCGGTGTGAGTTGGCCAGCTGTCCTCTGTGCCTCTGAAGGCCTTTGCACCCACCTGTGGCACATGTAGTAGCGGAGGCAGTGGCTGTCTCCCCGTGAGGCCTGAGGGCAGGGGCTTAAGGCTGAGTTTGCCCCTTTGACGCCCAGGCCTGTCATTCTGCACCAGTGTTCGGTGCCCTCCTCTCCAACAGCCACGTGGCTTCCGTGGCAGAGATGGCTAGTTGTCACCTAGTACCATTTTTGCCTTCTTCCCCTTCTCTAACCGGAAGTTAGAGAACTTCTGGTTGGGCTTGTGGTACCCAGAACAGAGATTCTATTTCCCAGCCTTCCTTGCAGCCAGGTGCATCCATGTGACCAAGTTCTGGCCAGTGGAATATGGGAGAAGTGATGTGTGTGATTTCTGGGTCATGCCCTTAGAGGGAAAGAGGACATGCCTGCCCCTGTCCCTGTTGTTGGCTCGTGGACGTGGTGGAGAGCTCTCTTGGCCACATGAGCTGTGGCCACATTCTGCAGATGGCAGAACCACAAGATGGGAGGAGATAGCCCCTGAGGAACACAAGCTGCCTGCCCAACCCAGACTTCCACATCAGTGAGAAATGGATGCCTACCACGTTCAGGCCACTGTGAGCTGAGGTCTCTGTCAATCATGCCCACATCTATGTCCTGAATAGCTGCCCACTCTCCCACGAGGAGCATCGTCTTGCCCTGGGAGCTTGTCCTCAATGGCTGTCAGCAGGTAGAGGTCACACGAGGGCCACGTCCTTTCCACCGCGTGGATTCTCTACCGGTTCACGTTTGCAGGGTGTGTGCAGGTCCATGGGAGCAGAGCCAGAGCAGCGCGTCCCTGCAGCAGCACACGGGGCTTGCTCTCCACCTGGTGCCCACACTTGACAGCTCAGAATCTTTGGGCACAGAACCCAGACATTGGTCCTTTTAACAAATTCCCCAGGTGACATGGCCCCCTGAGGTTAGAAACCCCATTTCTTAAATCCATTTATGCATCAGGATCTCCCAGGCCGGCCGCAAACAAATGCGTATTTGTCTTACTGAACAAATGTTTACCAGGCAAGCAGCTGTCATGTGCTCGGTGCTGCTGGGGACACGGGCACAGTCCTTGCCTTCATGGAGCTCACGTTCTGGTAGGAGACACAGCAACGAGCAGCTAAGCAGGTGCATGTATGATCTCAGGCAGGGGTAAGTGCCATGGAACAGAAGGAAGCAGTGGAGTTGGTAGAGGGTGGGGACAGGCTGAGAGAGGCTTCCCCACACAAGTGACGTCTGAGCAGGTCTGCGTGATGTGCAGGGACGAGCAGTGTGGACTCTGTTAGTTATAGGCTGAGCTGACACACCACATAGACCCTCAAAATCAAATGGCTTAAAAACTAAGGCACTTACTGATTCTTCACATAATCCCCCAGGGCAGGTGTTCTGGCTGGCGGGTTGGCTCTCCCCTTGCAGACATTCAGGGACTCAGGCTGATGGCTGCTCTACCATCTTCCACTTTGACCTTCAGGGTTGTCTTTGTCACATCACAAGGGTGTGTGGGAGGCAAAGACCACTTTGGGTCACCTTGGAGGCTGACGGCCACAGAGACCTTCACTAAGTTCATTACAATAATCTGTTTTGAGATGTCACCCACTCAGTGAGCTCTAGAAGGACCACTTTTGGAACTGGTGCCCACACATGAATAAACAGAAAGATTTCTGATGACTGGTTTAATAGAATTAGGGGATTTTACAGTTATAAGGGAACTTAGAGGTAATTTATTCCTACACTCCCATTTTATAAAGGAAGAAATTGTTTCTTAACAATGAGACAAAATGGCTTGGCCTACAGGGTGAATTTGTGGTTGAATAAAGATCAAAGATCCAATCTCCTACCTCTTGGGTGTGTGGTGCATAGGACATGAAAAAACTCTGGATTTGGGGTCTGGAGATTTGGCCAGAGGTCTCTAAACCCTCTTTCCTGGTTTTTTTCCCCAGAGCTTGATCATCTTTTGGATTAAAATGTCATCCTTTGGGATGATGTTTATGTAGAGTGTTAAATAGTCTCAATAAAACTCAACACACTTAAAACATTAGATTGATGATGCTTTGTATGATGCTTTGATGATGCTTATTCACTTAATTAATTTATCTTGCCCCAGAAAACAAGAGTGGGGATATAAAGCCACATAACTCCACTTAGTTCAGCTTCATGCACCTGTCGGAAATGCTGTCCACGAACCAGCAAACTGGGGCTCCCACGGAACACCAGAATTGCCCTGTCCATTAACTAAGCTTTTTTGTTTTGATTTTGGTTGCATGCAATAGAAACACTATCACTAGCTTAGGCAAAGAAAAGCAATACATTAATTTATTAGCAGGTCCATGGGGTGCCTCATATATCAAAGGAAATCCCGAACAACTCAGATTTGGAATGAAACGGGCTGTCCCTCATAGCTCAGCAGCGGGAGTTGCTGGATCCTCTCCTCACTGGGTTCCCACTCACACAACCCAGCCCCAAAGATCTCTGGCCCATGTGTGTTGATGTAGATGTCAAATTCCTGGGAAGCAGAATGTGCCAGACCCATCTGGGGTCATGCATCCTCCTGTGGGCAGTCAACTGCGGCCAATGGTAGGATTATATAGCAGAGATATGGCCTTTCAGCCCACACTGAAATGTCTGGCTGTGCCCACCACTGAAGAAGCCACCCAAGGGATGCCTAGGGGACCTTGTGAACTTCCACCACACCAGCAAGGCTTAACCTTGGATAGTGTACAAAGCCATTCTTACTACTTTACTATACAGGAAACCAGCATCCTTAACGTCACTATTAACTCACTTCTTTTCACTTATTTTATGCCCAGAGCTTTGGGACTCTGGCCAAGACCCTTTCCTTCTTGGATTTAGCTTCTCATCTATATATAGAGGGGGTGAGTCTTGCTGATCTGTAAGGTCCCTTCATGTTATAATACAACCTTCTGGCTGTGGCAGCTCGACAGCCCCTCCCCCTGCCCTAAGGGTAGGGAGTGCCTGGCTGGGCCCCACACTGTGCACGTGAATACATCCAAGTATACACGAGTGAATATAGTCTCTAAGAGGGCTTCACACACACTCGTGTACTCGGGCACCTTCTAAACAGTGATGGTGGCGTTCTCTTAATGCGGAGCGTTGGTTGAGACCACTGCCTCTGGACTGAGCTGGTCGTGTGATGGGTAGGAATCATCTGCATGGATTGTTAAATACTCCAAGCGGGAAATTCAATGGCTGGTGTATCTCTATTCATGGTGTGTTGGTGTGATTTATGCCGAAACTGGAATTAGAGGTCCTTCCAGGGTTTGACCAAGAGGATCTGCAGGGATGAGTAGGGGTGGGATGGGGTAGGTGAGTGGGGGCAGAGAGGGCATGGGTGAGTGAGAATGAGACTCCAGTAACCTCACAGAGGCCTCTTAAGGGTCAATGGGTTCATGGACTTAGATGAATAAACTCTGTGGGAAGCTTGTAGGAACCCTCCATCATCCACAATTGGGAAATCTACCTCGTGATTCATGCAGGGTTGTAGGACAGCGATAGGGATGGGGTTGAGGAATGTTCGATGGGAAGGACCTAGCCCAAGCTGGGGAGCACCTATCACCAGATGCTCAAACATGACCTCAACTTGGCTCCTACCCACACTGTGAAGTCCAGCTCATAGATGGGTCCTGATCCCTCCCAACCATTTCTCAGTGGCCCAGGTCAAAATCTTGGAGTTAGACAATGACAACCAAACAAGTCCTCAGAGATAAGATGGCTTTATCCCAACACTTTCTTCCCAAGTTCTCCTAAATTCAAGTTGTATCTTTGGCAGGTGTGCATTGATAGGCGAATTTCCTCTCTGTGGTCACTAGTTATTTATCTTGTTGGATACTATAGAGACAAACATCTCAGCCTCACACAACCCAAGCATTCAGGGTCAAATGTCTCACTGAAGTTAACCACTGTCAAAGAGCAATTGACGGCCACAGTCAGCTTAGACTAATCCTGATTCCTTCCCTGGGGCTGGGGACCAGGCATCCCTTCCCTTAGCCCATGGCTGCCCACCAGGTGTGTGTGCAGCAATATGGTGGGTGGACATGTGCAAGGTGGGGGGACATGCATGGGGAGGACCCCTGGCTGGCGGTGACACCAACTGTGATGGCACCCTGCTTGGCCATCTCATCCATCCTTGGGCTGTGAGTGGCTTGTCCATAGTTGCCAATAAACAGGTCATGTAGAGTTTCCTAAAGCATTTATTTGTGTGTGTGTGTGTGTGCGTGTGTGTTGGTGTGTGTGTGTGTGTTGGTGTGTGTGTGTGTGTGTGTGTGTAATAGGCACAGAAATAAAGTTATGACAGAAAAAGAGTTATGACCCAAGGCCTGACAATGTTCCTTCCTTAATTAGACTCGAGGAAATGCACCATTTTAGCTTTAAAAGAAGTGTAATGAAGATGGATTATAGTTCAGGGTCTGATTGGAAGGAGCCAGGAACTAAGATTAATTAGCAGCAGCATGTGGTTTATTTTCAAGGTCGTTTTTACTCAGCTTCCAGAAATCCTGTTGTAATATCTTCAAACTCTCACTGAACTTTTCATGAGCAATGGGGTGGAGGGTTTTGTGATCTTGTTTGATGGGGAGAGGCATTTGCCTTCCTGTGATACTCTCTGGGTGGCCAGCCCCTGTCACTAGCCATGTCAGGATGTCTGTGGATGGCCACCTCGAGCTAAACCAACCCCTCCCTCTTCTGCCCCGTGTGGCTTCAATGGGAATGGTTTCCTAGCTGACATTTATCAGGGGATGTGTGGGCGTTGGATCTGGGGGTGGCTTTTTAATCCTGCAAGCTGTTTCAAGTCTCCTAAAATTCCTCAGCATCCTTTTTTTTTTTTTTTTTATTATTAGAGCTTAAGATTTCCAAGGATGAACAGAGGGATAGATTTACAATAGCCCACTCATTGCAGTTCCTGTGCTCTTTGGAGGGTCTAAGCAACTTTATGGATAATTCCTTGGTTAGCATTCAGAGACAGTCCCACTTGGACTGGCAGCCTTTCTTTGTCTTCTACGACATCTTTGCCTTCTTTCTACCCAAGGACTAGCTGTCACCTGCCGCTTTGTCCTGGCAGGTGTTCTGGGTTTGACAGGAGCTCCGTGACCTTCGGGTGTGCTCAGTGCCTCCCTCCTCTACATGACGGTGGCCAGGGTGGCCAGAGCGGGAGGCCAGGGTGGGGGTGGGGCACAGGCTCTCTTCCTCACGCCGCCCTCACCTCTGATGGGAGAAGAGGAGAAGGAGAACGAAGAGAAGGAGAAGGAGGAGTATGAGAAAAAGGAGGAGGAGGAGGAGGAGACAAAGAAGATGATGCCCGAGATGATAATGAGGTTAGTAGTAATGACGATGTTGATCGATGATGATGATGATGATGATGAAGGAGGAGGGGAAGGAGGAGAAGAAGGAGATGATGTCAGCGATCATGGTGATGTGGATGATGCTGATGATGATGATGACGGTGTTGATGAAGGTGCTGATAGAAATGGCATGCTGGTGATGTTGGTAGTGATCACGATGCCGAGAAAGACAGAGACTCCACGAAAGCCAGCAGGACCGAACATTCGCCACGTGCCAGGCCCTGTGCCAAGCGTCTTGCACCCATGGACTGAGGAAGCAGGAGCACACAGAGGATGACAGCACCCCTAGCATCTCGCAGCTGCTAAGTGCAGAGCCAGGACTCAGCCAGGTCTGCCTGACCCGACAGCCTGTGCTCCTAACTCACATGGGTGTCCCGTTTTGGGGAAACAATCTGGACTGGGGGCTCAAGAGAGTTGTCTCAACCTTCTCCGTATAACGGAATTACCTAAGGAGCTTTTGAAAAACACTGAAGCCTGGGGCTCAACCTTAGAGATTCAGAATCAATTGGTCTAAGGTGGAGCTTGGTTATCAAGATGTTTTATTCAGGCGAGTTTGAAAACCACACTGTGCAGATGATGACTAAGGTTTCCCCAGAGATGCAATCTCAGGCATCTCTGATCATCCCCTATTCTCCCTACCAGGAGGCTGCAGGGAAGGAATTCTGGAAGCACATGTGAGCAGGGCCAGAGGAGAGCTGCAAAGGCTCGATTCAGGTGAGCCCTGGGGCAAGCCAGGCTGTGAACCAAGAAAGGCTGGGACCAGAAAGCCCGGCAAGAAAATGTGAATTGTGCCCTGGGACCGCTACCCTTTCCCTCCACTTTCTGGCCATCTCTGATGATCATGGGGCATCTTAGAGATAAAAATAATATTCCCTAGTGTTTCTCCTTTTCAGTGTGTTGTCCTGGGAGTGAATTTAGAAAGAATAGCATCATTCTCTTCTGAAACAGACACCACCTTTGGGCTTATTTCATCCGAGCTTATTATTTGCAGTAAGGAAACTGAGTCCCACAGAGGGACAGTGGCCTGCCTGCGCCCACGTGACCAACTCACTCAGTGTGCGTGCGTTGGGA